AAGTAGATGTAAAAAAGCACATATATGTTTTGCTTAACTCAGCTATGTGATTTTTGTCTCTCAAAGAAATTTTCTTCACGTACGTTGCAGGGTGACCACGGAAGGAAACGCTCTGTGCTTGGCTGCTGTGGTCAGGACGCTTCCCACCACTGAAATTAAAATGCCTGACTTCATAAAAACAATATATTAGAGACCCATACTCGTCAAAATGCTCTGAGGCAAAAAACAAAAACCTTTCCAGAATGAAGGTAATCATTCTTATCTAAAGTAATTCTCTTAGATTTTAAATGCAGCATCAATAGTTCCATAAATATTTAATGCTCTTGATTAAAATAATACCTTTTAGGGAAAAAATTATCCAGTACACAAAGACTGAATACCTTAATTTCTTAAAAGGTAAGAAGACAGAATCCCAAGAAGAGATGCCATCTTGATGATGGAAATACAGCCAGAGCTGACTAGATTTGTAAATGTGTATTTTTCCTGGCAGAACAGCAGACGCATCGAGGTCCGGGCAAGCGGCGGGTCTACAGTTTAACTGCTGCCTCGACAGTCCCATGTAGGAGTGGCTGCAACCCCAGAGGGTTGGCCAGGCAGTCAGAGAAGCTGCCCCACCACCCTGATTACAAGTGGGGCACACGGCATTCTCTCTCTCTGTCAACTGAGCAACTTGACCGTTCCAAGCCAATCCTGTTACAGGAAATTCTGTTTAACTCACAGCTTCAGCTATTAAAGTATTTCATTCCGCACCTCAGTTCTATTTTAGGTAACACCACTGCTGTATTACCCATTCTCCTTTAGTTAATTTGTTTCATATTAAACAAAAGGGCCCATAGATTTTTATAATCAACTCTGTTTCAGTGGTCTTCAGTGTTCTCTTGCAGGTACTGGACATAAAATGCACGCTTAATACCCATCCAAAGTCTGTACCTGGCGATGTCAGCTACCACTGGGCAGCAGGCTTTCTAAAAGGCGGGTTCCGTCCCTCCCTCAGTGCCAGCCGTGCTCACGCCAGCAGAGGTGCAAGTGCGCTTGCATTCACGAGGCTCTGTAATTTCACAGGTATCTGCAAGCAAAGGGACTGACCAAAATCTAAGCCAAGGTGTCCCTAGGACCGCACAGCTCAAAATGGTAATATCCTAAGAATACTAAAACTTAACCTGCTCTCCCAAAAACTACAGCTCCCCGTCCTCGCGCAGGCACTGATGGGCTAGGCGAGGCTGTGAAGAAGAATGTCTACCGCTCCGGTGAGAAAACTATGTGAGCGCTGGCACAGGCACACCTCCCTCAGACCCTCTTCCAGAGGCTCAAACATTTACATGAGCTGCTCTGTCAGAAATAGAACGAGTCTTCGCCTCTCTGCCTTCTCAGACCCATCAACCTCCAGTCTAAAATGGGTAAGAACGGATTTTTCCTATTAAAACAACTCTTTGGTCATGGACAAACTAAGAGATTTGAATTTTTTTTTTTTTTTCCATTAGGATCCCGGGACAAGGTTTCTTTCTTTTTAATCTTTAAAAAAATTAAGGAAGAAGAGCAGAAAAACAGCTGGTTTAATTGAAGTGGAATTTAAATCTAAAAGGTCCGCCTGAGCTGAAGGGGTTAAACCCCTGCCATGAGTTCCAGCTTCTGTGGAAAGGGTTGCCTCCACCTCCTTGTTGGCTCTCTGCGTCCAGGGGATCTTCTCCATCATCAAATTTCTTCCTCATTTCTACAAGAAAGAAACCGGAAAATGAAGACCCAGGTATTAACTAAGGCCTGGGGAGGGGGAAGGGAGCATCACAGGATTCCTGGCTTCTCTCTTATCAAATCAGTCATGCCTGACACACAGATCCCGGCTCCCCCATTCCTGCCCAGCTCAAAGGTTTGGTCTCAGGAGAAACAGCCTAGAGAAGAAATACCGGTCACAGAAAAAGGGTTGAGGTTCAGGGCTGGAAATGGGTATTCCTTGAAATTCAGGCCCCCTGAATGTTCTCTCCTCACAAGAAGCTACCCAAGGAAATTCTCTGGAAAAAAATAATTGCAAAGAAAGAGACCTCCAAAAGTCACACCCCTATGATCAAAGAGCCACGTCACCGTCCTCACCCCAGTAACACAGTCTCAACAGCTTTCCACGCCTCACTCTTAGTTCCGTTTGGACTTAAGGTTCCCTGCTGTGCAGCACAGGAGGCTGCCCTCACCGCTGTACCTCTCAGTCCCAAGGAGGGTCTCTGACGAGACAGAGGCTAATGCAGGCAAACGGGAGAAAGGAATCCTGCAGGTGGCAGGAGAGCAAGTGACTACACTCAGACTAGAAAAAACTATTCATCCCTAAAATAAGAACAGGGGCTAAGAAAAAGGAACAGAACCAAAAGAACTCCTAAGCATCCAGAAAAGAACTGCATTTGTAGGTACTTTGTGACTATCGGCCCCAACTCCATTGGTTGGCTCCCTGCCATCCTTAGTGCTCAGCTGCAGGGTCGTCTCCCCATATGCCCACCACCCCCCCCACCCCCCGCCGAAGATTCCCAGCTCCCAGTCCACTGTGGCCCCCCCACCTGTCCACTGTGCCAGCTGAAGACAGACCATTTGAGAATGTTGCTGGCACTCGTTTGCTGAGTGAAAAGATAGACTATCCTGCTGTGCTCATTAACTCCATTTCCAATCCTATAATCCCTTACAGGATTATAAATGCAAATAGAGGGCCATACAGCTTCGATTCCATAGCAGGAACAGATGTTCAAAAAAGATTTGCCAAGGAGGGCACCTGGTTGGCTTAGTCGGTTAAGTGTCCAACTTCAGCCCAGGTCATGTAGGTTCGAGCCCCATGTCAGGTTCTGTGCTGACAGTGTGGGGCCTGCTTGGATTCTCTCTCTCTCTCCGTCTCTCTCTTTTCAAAATAAATACACTTTAAAAATTAAAAAAAAAAAAATTGCCAAATGGGCATAAATCTGGAGTCCCTTCTATTTTTGATGAATTTGTCTAGCTCAAGTCATAGCTTCTACTCCTACTGACATGGAAAGGCACAAAAAAGCAATAGGTATTAGCTTAACATTAAATTCCCTCTGGAAATGTCTAAGCATTGTTCAGTATTACCTAATTTCTTCATTTTCTCTCTCGTTTTCCAGGCCATTTTAGCATATGATAAAAACATTCCAGCAACCAGTAAATCTAATGAACATTTGATTCAGGACAAGGTTCCTGGGCTAGGTATACACCTCCCACCCTCACTGCCCGCCCCCCCTCCCCCCCAAGGCATTCTGGTTTCCTAATCGAGCTCCTAGAAGTTTGGTATAAAGAATTCATCAGTGATCCGGGAAGGTGGAAGGAACCTAAGACATCCCCCTCACTGGTGTAAAATCTGAGGCTCAAAAAGCTCTAAGAACTTTGGCAGTAGAGCGAAGAGTCAAATCAGGCCTTCTGATTCCAAGCTTGTTGGTCTTTCCACTGAGCCAGACAGAAGGGCCCTGAGTCTGACGGGGGCAGGCATGACATCTGAACTTCTGAAACTGCAAGGCGGGGGACCCAGTGGTCCCCAGCTCCTACGGGGTGGCCCTGAGCAGCCCGCCTGTCCCCCCTGTGTGACCCTGTCTCCAAGTCAGCAAAGGAACGGAGCTAGACGTCTGCGCATAGCAGACTCGGCCATTTCAGAAGAACAGAAAATGCGAAGGACAAACAATACCTGGGTCAGAGAGGACCTCTTTAGCAGCCGCTATGTCAATGAACTTTTTCTCAGCTTTTTTCTTTTCTTCTTCATTCTGGAAGTTATCTGGGTGCCACTGCAATGCTAATTTTCGGTATGCTTTAATGATTTCTTGCTTTTTGGCGTTTCTGAGAAGTATGAAAATAAATAATCATTAGTTAAGCAGTGCCCAACACACAGCCACAAAAAACTAAAAGACAGTTATGATCCCGCCGGCAAGTTAGCAACCTGGTTCTTCTAATCGTGCCCATGGTGTCACAGGCTGAACATTAAATATCCAGACTGGATGATCATTAAAGCTGGTCAGGCTTCCTCAGATACTTGTTCCCTAAGATCAGAATCTCACTGGGGAGAAATTACTTTTGATCTTTGCAATGTTCCCTTTAAAAAAAAAATCACACAGATGTGTTTTTAAACTTTCTGAATTTCCAGCCTACCATGATACAAATCTTGGCATTAAAAGAGATACTCTGAGTCTGAAACCCACTTTCTATTTTGCATCTGGTTAGCTTACTTAACAAAGGTTCAACTTTTGATAAAAGATTGATGGTTCCTTCTTCAGGGAAAGTGGGTCTGACATTACCCAGCTTTTGTAGATCTCAGTGCGTGTAAGTTAATTCTCAAAAGTGCCACTTTTTTTTTAGGCCTAGAGTTTTCTTTCCCCCTCTCTCCCTCCTGTCCTCACAAAAGAAAGCTCACTCCTACCTCCTTACCCTTCCTAAATAATCTAGGGCAGGATCTATTCATGCTACAGTGTCATACCTTTGTCACCAACTACTAATTCCCTATCACTGCAGTACTAGTTGCTATCAAAGAAATCTGCCTGTAACAAAATAGCTTCACTATGTTAAAGATGGTTAGGTTTAATCCATGACTGAAATTACATAAAGAAAGCAATGAATCAGAGAAAAAAGGAAGAGCAATGATAAGCTTTAAAACAGTTGATTTATGTAAATTTTAAATTAATAACTCACCTTTTTACTCCCAAAATTTTATAATAATCTCGTTTCTGTGACTGTTTCAGTAGCCTCTGTGCCTTCTCTAGACCTTCCCGAATCTGCTGATCATTTTCATTGTGTTCCTGAGCAGTTTCATAATCCTGAATAGCTGTCAAATTATGTTTAAGATAATGCTGTTAAAGGTAATGCAATTTGTAACCTCTACTTATCTGGTAAGATTGACACTAAAGTCACTATCCTGACCCTTTACTCTCGTGCAATTACTGCTTAAGAGCCTAAGAAGTTATAGTAATGATTTTGTTAGCAAACTTATGAAAGGCATAGCATAATTAAGGCTGAATTTAGGTAGCTTTTTACTCCCACTCAATCACTGCTATTTGTTTACTTGCCCACCCTCCCACATTACCTTCACCACATCTTTGAGGTATTTTAATGCCCATACTTTATACAAAGCAGTCTTAACCATCACTAAGATTGAAGTGATTGTTACAAAGGAAAATAAGACCATGGCAAAGAAAATCTGCACAGTCAGCTATGGGTCCACAGTTCAGAAGAATCAGAGGCTTATAAAGGGAGCCCAAGAGGAACCATCAGCAACCAGAATGTCTGTGTCACCCAGGAGCTGTTACAAACCTGATGTTTTTTAAAGTATGAATCAAAGCAAAACAACACACACTGACTGTCCCAGTATAGGAAGTCTGATAACAATCCACATTATGTCTTTTATCTCATTTTCAAATACTTTAATATCTAGAACACAAGGCATCTGGATATCTAAGTCACCCAGAAAAGAGCCAACATAGCCAGCTTGAAACTGTTATCCTTAGAAGGGCCTGCTGGTAAGGCTGGTCCTGGCTGACCTCTCGAAAGACGGGCTGCAGGAGTGTTCCCACCACTCCCTGGTAAGAATGGCTCACCGTGCCTAAATGTCTGTACAAACAATGTGGTTTATGCTAAACATCTTCTTTCCTTCTGGGAGTCTGGAATTTGGGTAGGGGATGGGCAGAAGGTGCCTACCTGACCAGCCTCAAATAAACACCCTGGGTGGTGGCTCTACCAAACTTCCCCAGTAGGCAACACTTCACACGTCTTGAGGAATTAGCTTGTCCTACAATTTCACAGAGAAAGACTCTTGGAATCCTCTACCTGGTTTCCTCTGGAATTTGCACCATATGCCTTTTCTCTTTGCTGATACTACTTTGTACCCTTTCACTAGGTTAAATCTTAGCCGGAGTACAACTGTATGCTGAGTCTCATGTGTCCTCCTACCCAATCATCAAATCTAGGAGCGGCCTTGAGAAGCTCCAATACAAGTCTTCCTTATTGTTCTCCCTGGACAGACATCTCAAATAATGGACTGCTGAATGCAAATTCTAGTTTTTATGGAAGTGCAATGCACTGTGGGAAAAGACCTCTCTCTTGATGACATGCCTGAGCATTGGTCTTGGCAACAGCTGATCCTGGAAGGGAGTAGGAAGGCCGATCATCCTTCCTTCTGACATAGTGCTGGAAGGTCAAGAGCAGCCTAATGCCCTGTCACAACAATGCCTATGTCATTCACCTCACTTCGACTCATCCTGCAGGCATTTCATCATCTCATATCATCACAGGAACAAGGGTGAGTACAGGACAATGAGGTATTTCTAAAGACCACATTTACATAACTTTTATGACAGTATTTTGTTATAATTATTCCGTTTTATTATTCATTAATACTGTTGTATTATTACTGTTTATTATCACTGTGCCTAATTAATAAGTGAAACTTGATCATGGATATGTATGTATAGGAAAAAACAGTATATATAGGGTTCAGTACTATCTGCAGTTTTGGGCATACACTGGGGGACTTGGAAGGTATCCCCTGCATAAGGGACAGTTACTGTCATAAGCCTGCACTCCATAGAAAATGCACCCATGCTACCTTTGGCCCGTCGGGGATGGTATGTTTAAATTTTTATCCTAATTCCTACCTCAGTGCATTAGTATTGCGTATTAATATGAAACATTATTACGGTCACCCAATCCACAATGACAACATAAAATACCTTTCCAATTTAGTATACAAAACCATCATAAATAGTAGTGAGGGTTAACTTTACAATTAATACCCATAGCACTTGATGCCACAATCTAGTAAGGAAATGTACTTTGAAGGAATTTAATACAAAATGTTTCAATATATGCCATTTTGCTATTAATGCAAACTCTACATTTTAAACATGTTTTAATTCTTAAATGTTCAGACTGTCTCCTTCGAAGCAGTCTTCTATCTTTTATTAAAACTTAAGGTAGGCACATTTTTCCCCATACAGAAAAAATATAAAATTATATAGGTTGTTTCCTACATTCACATGATTACAGGTAGGTAATTTAATTAGAAACTTACTTTAGGTGACGTTAAAACTTACCATGGACATTATATTTACTCCGATTCCACACTCTAAGGAGGAATCTTCAAAAAAATAAAAGTAACACCCAATTATGTTTATCCCATACTGTCATTAAGCATCCGTGAAAAGCAGAATAAGCCAGAAATATTCAGGCCCTGAATAAACCGTCTATTACATATCAGCCAACTCATTTTCTATCCTCTGAATCTAAAAAATCTTCCCAAATCCTTTTTCTGCCAGTCCCCCCAGTCGATTCCTAGGGAACAAAGCAAACTAGACCAAGCTGGCAGGCAGAGGAGGGCACAGCCCTTCCATCCCACTCTTCCACAGAAATGACACACACAAAAATAATAGAATCACGGCAGCACCAAAAACAGCAGCAGACCAGAAACTTTCAGAAGTTTCTGAAAGAAAGGTTTATTCATTATTACCATGATCCCATTTGATTCCTGCGTGTAGAGAACCCCAGTGCAAGCAGAGGCCCTCGCAGATGTGGGAGCCATTGTGTTTGGCCAAGGATCCTCAGTTCAGCATTCAGCAAGCAGGGGCAGCTTACACAACCACCAGGACAGCTCGGGAGAGAACTGAGGGATGTCTGGGCGGGCTCTCCCTGTGAGTGTGCAGCCGCCACTGCTGCATTCGCCCCACCAGGGCCCAAGAATCAGTCTCTGAACCGAACAGAAGATGCGCACATGGCGCAGCCCCCGATGTGGCTGTGGGAACCAGGAAGGGTGGCAGAACCAAGCCCACGGACACTCCAGATCTCTACAACAGACCTGGACTAAACAAGGACAAGAACTCCACCCAATAAGTAAAATGATTAATTTCCTGTTCATTTTGGCAACTGGGCCAGATGGCAAGCGCCACAGGGGAAGTCTCCCTGCGAACAGTCCCACCCACTTAAAGCCTGCTTTAAGCTCTCCAGTGCAGAAGCAACATTTCAAAGACAGATGTGCACAGCTGCAAAAGACTGCCTCTTTCAGTCCTTCAGTCCACTAGAAAATCCCAAAAACTATGTCCAGAATTTACCTTCTTCTCACCATTTCTCCAATGACCAATGTGACATATGCAGTCCACCGTTAATACACCTGAACAGCTGTTTCCGGCTTCCACCCTTATCCCCCTAAAAGTCTATTCTCAGTACAGGGACCTAGAGAGCCTCTAAAAGAGAACATCAGACCCCAATATAAATATGTCCATGGACACCAACCATCTCCTCCAGGACATCATGCAAAACAATCCAAGTGTACAAGGCCTGCTAAAATTAGCTAATATCAGCCATGAATCCAAGATGAGAGGGGGAAGCAATAGTGAGAAAGCCCAAAAACAAAAACAAAAACAAAAACAAAAACTTTCTAGGAGTATGGGCTCACCCTATAGTGACAACCTATATCCTTTGCATATTATGAGACCCATGAAATCCGAAGCCAGACAGAGTGGAGATAAAGCAAAGACCTTACTCAGGAAAAGACAGAAAAAAGAGAATACGAGAAGAGAAAATAGCCCTGAGCAGCACATCTCAGAAAACCCCAGCAACTATGTGCTCTCTGAAGGTGAGGGCTCACCCTCAAGTGTAAAAGATATACCCCTTTGGTAGCAAAGGAAGTGGGCAGAGGGGCAGCAGGGCTGGCAGCTGATGACCTGGACACGGTTTGGTTCAGAGAAGCAGAGAGGGCAGAGCTATGTAGAAAGGCCATTTTAGCAGGAGGCAGAATGTCTGTGGAAACAGTGAAGCAGAGAGGACTGCAATTGCTAAGTACAGAAGGCTGCCCTGTCCCCAGCACTCCCTTATACACACACACACACACACCAAAGGACTTGCCCACAAATAGCTAGGGCAGGATAATTCATTTTAATGGTACAGCATCGGGGCGCCTGGGTGGCTCAGTCAGTTAAGTGCCTGACTCTTGGTTTCAGCTCAGGTCATGGTCTCACACTTCCTAGGTTTGAGCCCCATGTCGGGCTCCATGCTGATAGCTTGGAGCCTGCTTGGGATCCTCTCTCTCTCTCTCTGCCCCTCCCCTGCTCATGCGCTCGCTCTCTCTCTCTCTCTCAAAATAGATTTTTAAGAAAATGGTATAGCATCAATTCAAGGACAGCTTTTAAATAGAGACAGGAAAAGAGCACCAAGACTTACCTGATGAACACACATCAGAACAGTAGCCGAACACATGAGAATTCTGAGCAAACATGCCATGAATTTTTAGAACTTATCCAATCCCCTCTTGTAAGGGTAATCACAAAGCAGAATAAGAACTCAGCAAAGAGAGAGACAAAGAGGAGACAAAAATGTGAGTAGTCAATACTCAAGAAGATCACAACTATCGTAGAATTACAGATGAAATGAGAAGGAGCACCGGAAGCAGCATCATATGGAAAAAAATAAGGATCTAACAAAATGAAATGGAAATAAAGAGTTTAAGAAGACTAGAGAAAAAACAGCAGCTATACCCAACAAGCAAAGGGAATACAACCTACACATAATTAGATCTCAGAAGGAGAAAACCAAACCAGTAGAACAAAACAATTCAAATATTTTTTAAATTTTTTTAAAGTTTATTTATTATTGAGAGACAGAGAGACACAGAGTGTGAGCAGGGGAGGGATAGAGAGAGGGGGAGACACAGAATCCGAAGCAGGCTCCAGGCTCTGAGCCATCAGCCCAGAGCCCGACGCAGGGCTCGAACTCACGGACTGTGAGATCATGACCTGAGCTGAAGTCGGTCACCTAACCAACTGAACCACCCAGGCGCCCCCAGATTAAATTTAAGACATTTTCAATCTGTAAATTCATTTGTTATTTCAGGAAAGGGCACACTAGGTGTCAGGGCAAACTGGATGGTAACAGTAAAGACGAAGACCTATGCTGGCTAGTCTAATTATGCATTTGAAAGATGAGGGCTCTTTGAACCTGGCCCCAGATTTTCCAGAGCAATATTCTGTGCCAGGGGACAATGGAACAATAACTTCAAGATACAGAAAAAGTGTGAGCAAAGGATTTCTTATCTAACCAAACCATCCTTTTAAGAATAAAGATACAAACGTAAAAGAAATGAGAAAATAAATTTTCCTAGGAACCCCTCGAGGATGAACTTACCAAGGAGAAAGCTAGAGAAGCCACAACCAAAGGAGGGATGAAGAAGAAAAAGAACTGGTAAGTCAAAAGGCTTAGTTCTTGGCAAAAATCAATACATATCTCTAACCTAATCAGGAAAAGAAAGCAGGATCAAAACCAAAAATAAGAAATAAGTGACAAATAAGATAGAAGAAATTAAAATAATGAGACTACTTTGCTAAATTTGAAAACTCAAATGAGTAACACAAACTGATCCTAAAAGAAAAACTAAACAGAACAATTTCCACAGAGAATTAAAGCCACAGGCTTTCCACAGAGATATGGAACTGAAAAGGAAAATTTCCAAATAATTACAAAAAACTACCCTAATTGATAGTTTGCTATATATAAAAATCTGGGGTAAAAAATAATTCTTCCTCTGAGTTTTTTGAGAATACTGAAATACTCCTTTCTGGACTTGGTAGGAGGGGATATGAGACAGGAAGCGGTGTTCACGAGCAGAATTTAGCAGTCACAGATGCGTGCGTTGCTAATAGCAGACCTTTAAAGTGCTTAAAGGAAAAATGGACAATATTAAAGGGAAAGATAAGAAAGTTTGCAACCTTCACAACAGGTAATTAAAGATCTTGAAAACTCTCCTCTCTCAGCAATTGATGGGAAAACTAACATAAACATTACACGCAACAACTGCAGATACACATTATTTTCAAGTTCACACAGAACAGTCAGCAAAAACAGACACCATACTGGACTAAAAGACAGGTCTACATAAATTTAAAAGGAAGGAAATCACATGAAGTATGTACAGTGACCACATAAAATTAATAAGATACCACCAAACATTTCAAAATTTAAAAAAAAATCCAAATAATCCATGTGTCAAAAAAGAAGGGAATTACAATACATTTCAAACCAAATGATAATGAAAACAAAATATGAGACGTACAGCTTTAAATGCTTATATTGAAGGGCGCCTGGGTGGCTCAGTCGGTTGGGCATCCAACTTTGGCTCAGGCCATGATCTCACAGTCCGTGAGTTTGAGCCCCGCGTCAGGCTCTGTGCTGACAGCTCAGAGCCTGGAGCCTGCTTTGGATTCTGTGTCTCCCTCTCTTTCTGCTCCTCCCCTACTCGTGCACTGTCTCTCTCTCTGTCTCAAAAATAAATAAAAACATTAAAAATTTAAATGCTTATACTGAAGGAAAAAAGAGAGAGAGAGACCTAAAATCAGTGGCAATTCAACCACAAAAAGCCAGAAAAGCACAAAGTAAACCCAAAATAAGTCAAAGGAAGGAAACAAAGAAGAAATCAATGAAATAAAGGAAAATCATAGAAAACATTAATAAATCCCTAAAGTTGTTGCCTTTAAAAGACCAATAAATTTGGCCAAACTCAAGCTATATTAAGAGGGAAAAAAAGAATTACAAAACTATCAGTATTAGAAGTTAAAGAGGGGCGCCTAGGTGGCTCAGTGGGTTAAGCATCCAACTTCTACTCAGGTCATGATCTCATGGTTTGTGAATTCAAGCCCCACGTCGGGCTCTGTGCTGACAGCTCAGAGCCTGGAGCCTGCTTCAGATTCCGTGTTTCCCTCTCTGCCCACTTGCACTCATGCACACTCTCTCAAAAATAAACATTAAAAAAAAGAGGACATACGATATGGTTCTATTAATATGAAGATCTAGAATTGGAAAATCTAAATGAGGAAAATCAGGACAAGGGCTGCCTGAGCAGTGGATTGGGACTGATTGGTAAGGGACAAGAAGAAAATGTAATGTTCTGCATCTTGATAGGAGTTTGCGTTTGACACTCTCTTTAACCAAAATTTTAGTCAGGCTCCTCTGAGACCTCTTTCTAAGGGCCTGACCTTGGGTTTTCCTCTTGGTTGTTATAGAATCCAGTTTGAGCAAGAATCCTGCTAAGTCAGTTTACCTAACATCTCCCTGATTTTGGTATCTGACCAAATTTGAATTTGTATCTGATCAATTTTCTCATTCCCTACCCTGGCCTGCCATCAGCAAGAATCCAGTTGAGTCCATCTAGCAAGAATCCCCCCTTTCCATGATGTTTCCTCTTGGTAATTTTCCATCCAGTGACCCCCACGATGCTCCTTGGTTATAAATCCCCACTTGTCCTTGTTGGTGTCAGAGTTGAACCCAGTCTCCCCCTCACTGCAAGACCCCACACTGCAGTAGTGGTCCCTACACCTATGGTGATTAGCCACTCCCCTTCACAAGAATAAAGCCTTCCTTAAGGTCTTTAACAAGTGTCACAAATAATTTTCTTTTTAATAGATGACATGGGTATCAGAACTCAGGATTGGTATCCCTAAGATTTGTGCATTTCATTGTATCTAAAACTACTCTCCCTCAATAAGGAATAAAAAGGAAAACAGTAAACAAATTCTAGTTAATGATATGCCAGTTGAAGTATTTGGGGAAAAGTAAACTAAAGTCTACATTGTTTTGAAATGCATCTAAAAAAGATGAACTGACAGAAAAATAGAGGGATAGGCAGATTAAATATGACAAAACATAATAAAATATTAACTTCAGAATCTAGATAGTGAGGACATGAGTGCTTACTGTAAAATTCTTTCTACTTCTTTCTGTATTTGAAATTTCTCATAATCGCATGTAAGGGGGAATGTTTCCCTGCTTTGAGA